GTGTTCCAGTCCTCATCATCTGAAAAGATCAATTGAAAAACTTGAACTTTCTACATTACTTTCACAGTTATTTCCTTTTTATATTGTTGAAAATATTTGAAAGTTAAAAGATGTAATGACTAATTTGAATTATAAGTACTTTATTATTCATCATCATCATCATCATTACAGCCCTTCACAAGTCCACTGCTGAACATAGGCCTCCTCCAAAGAATGCCACAAAGCACGGTCCTGAGCCACCTGCATCCATCGACTTCCTGCATGTCTTACCAGGTCGTCACTCCATCTCGTGGGGGGACGCCCTACACTTCGCCTACCGGTACGAGGCTGCCACTCGAGAACCTTTCTTCCCCATCGGTTGTCGGTTCTTCGAGCTATATGGCCGGCCCATTGCCACTTCAGCTTACTAATCCGTTGGGCTATGTCGGTTACTCTGGTTCTACTGCGGATATCCTCATTCCTAAGTTTATCACGCAGAGAAACTCCGAGCATAGCCCTCTCCATAGCTCGCTGAGCGACCTTGAGCTTCCTCATCCGGCCAGCAGCGAAGGACCACGTCTCAGTTCCGTATGTCATCACTGGCAACACGCACTGGGTGTACAGTCTCGTTTTCAAGGTTAGAGGTATACCTGACGAGAAGATGTGTCGTAATTTCCCGAACGCTGCCCAACCGAGTTGAATCCGTCGATTGACCTCTCGGTCGAAGTTGGACTTACCTAGTCGGACTATTTGTCCCAGGTAAACATACTCGTCAACAACTTCGTGCTTAGTGTTCCCAACAACTACCGGCATAGGTGTGACATGGACATTAAACATGATCTTAGTTTTGTCCATGTTCATCTTAAGACCTATCCGTTGGGAAACACTATTGAGGTCATTGAGCATAGTGCTTAGGTCCTCCAGCGATTCTGCCATAAGGACTATATCGTCGGCAAATCGAAGGTAAGTGATGTACTCGCCATTGATGTTGATACCGTATCCTTTCCAGTCCAGAAGCTTGAAAACGTCTTCCAATGCAGCGGTGAAGAGTTTCGGGGATATGACGTCACCCTGTCTTACACCTCTCTGCAATAGGATAGGTTACGTACTCTGGTTCTGTACTCGGATAGTCATCGTAGCCCTATTGTACAAGCACTTCAACACTTCGATATACCGACAGTCAACTTGGCACCGCTGAAGGGACTGCAGCACCGCCCAAATTTCGACGGAATCAAAGGCTTTCTCATAGTCCACATACGCCAGACATAGTGGCAAATTGTACTCTTCGGACTTCTGTACAATTTGCCGAAGGGTATGTATGTGGTCTATGGTGCTAAAGCCCTTTCGGAAACCGGCTTGTTCGGGAGGCTGGAAGTCGTCAAGTCTGCGCGCAAGACGATTCGTAATGACTCTCGAAAACAGCACGTAGACGCGGCTCAGAAGGGAAATCGGTCTGTAGTTCTTCAAGAGAGCGTTGTCACCTTTCTTGAAGAACAAGACCACCGCACTTCTGCTCCACGCCTCCGGTGTAATGCCACCATGGAGGACGGAATTAAAGAGCCTCTGAAGGACTTCAAGTACCGGTTTTCCACCCGCTTTCAGAAGCTCCGCTGTAATTCCATCCTCGCCTGGGGCCTTACCGTTTTTAAGGTGCTGGAGAGCCATTCTAATCTCGCTCATACTGACGTCCGGGATATCTTCGGAATAGTGTCGGATGAGACTCGCTCTTGGATCGTTACTCACACTTGCGTGTGGCTCCAACGATGACGTGTACAACTGCCCATAGAACCTCTCAATCTCACTCAAAATCTCAGGTGTCCCGGAAACGATGCTGCCACATCCTGTCTTCAGCTTTGACAGTTGGCTTTTTCTGGCAGACAGATCTCTGGCAAAGACTTTGGAGCCTTGGTTCCACTCGATCGCTTCTTCAATACGAGCTGTATTGAAGTTGCGTAAGTCCCGCCGCATGCATTTGGAGATCTGTCTGTTCAGATGCCTGTATGCTGTCAAGTCTGTTGAAGAATGTAGCTTCATCTCCCGTCTAACTGCCATGAGATTAAGAGTGTGATCGGAGAGTTTTTGTGTTCTTCTGCGGCGGGTCTTGCAGAACTTAGCTCCGACCGGCTCGTGGACAGTTTCCACGAGCTTGTCATTCATATCGTCCACTTCATTGCAGTCTTCTAGGCACTGAAAACGGTTTTGTAACTCGGGCTGAAAGGTTTCGGGACTTTGGATTAGAGCACGAGGGGGACGGAGCGTTGACTTCATTAGACGAGATCTCTCCAACTTAACGTTTAGGTTCAGTGTGCCTCTAACCATTCGGTGATCGCTACCAGTTTTCACCCTCGCGATCACGGAGACATCACTGAACAGTTGTCGTCTGGTCGTCATAATGAAGTCAATCTCATTTTTTGTCGAACCGTCGGGGCTCGACCAGGTCCACTTCCTGTGGGGCCGCTTCTGGAAGAAAGAGTTCATCATAAAGAGTTCCTCTTTCTCCATGAAGTCGGCCAGCTGCTGGCCTCTTGGGTTCCGTTGCCCTATTCCAAATTTCCCTACTTTCAGCTCACCGTTCTCTCTTGTGCCTAGTTTTGCATTAAAGTCTCCCATTAACACCGTATATTGGGTTTTGGAGGAATGCATGGCTCTAGAGATATCCTCATACATTTCCTCCACCTCCTCATCGGGGTGTGCCGAGGTTGGTGCGTAAACCTGTATGACCTTCAGCGAATACCGTTTGGTGATTCTGAGTATAAGGTACGCAACCCTCGTCGACACACTCCCGATCTTTACAACGTTGTTAACGAGAGACTTGTGGACGATAAATCCGACACCTCCTTGGGACAGATGGTCGACCTCCCGGTGATAGAGCAAGTTGCCGGATTCGAGGATTACCGTGTCCTCCCCCTCTCTTCGGACTTCGGATAATCCTATAATATGCCAGCGCAACTTGTCCATCTCTTCTTCCAGCTCCACAATCTTCTCGTCAGTCCTCAGGGTGCGTGCGTTGTACGTTGCCAGGTCGAGTCGTCTAAGGTGGCAACCGAACCTCCACCGGAGATTCTTAGCACCCCCTGCCCCGCCGTTACCATGGTCGCCACCGTAGCCAGGAATAGCGGGGCCGCCAGGGACTGGGGGCCGTTTCTTTGTTACTGTCATTCATAGGGGGGTATTTGCCATAGTTGCCACGCTTGGCGAGCGGGTTGGCTTACATCATGAAATTATAATAATTATTTTTTTATATTTAATAATTGCAATAGTTAATACACAAGAGTAGTTGAAGACGTACCTACAGCGGTACAATTATTAAATTTTCTGTTTGTGACTTTGCGAGTATAGAATACTGTTTTATTAATGCCGGCAGATTATTCTACCTGTAAAATAATAAGATATTAGTCTTATTCTAAAGTTATTATTTATATACATTAATATCTTCTGAATAATATATTTTCACGCAGAAAGTACGAGTATGTGTTAATAATTAATATTAAGATGTTAAAATTAAAGTTTTTACAGTGATTCTTACTAAAGTTCTATCTATGTTAAAGCACCCTGTTCTCTAAGTATGTGAGACATATTTTTTCTTATTAATTTAATTGTCTATAAGGTTTTGCCCACTATCTTTTTAAATCACTCCACATCTTAAGCAAACAAAATAAAACGATAATGAACCCGAAATTCTCCCTAAAGCGCTCTTGATTGATATTGAATGTTTTAGAAAAATAAGGCTAGCACTTACTTTTCGCCATTTTTTTTCGTTGCGAGACTCCGATTCCTTGTCTGTTAAGTAAATCACATAGCTCCTTGCTTCACTGTCGCATGTTGCATAATACACCACTGTCGTCATTCTGTGGTTTCGATAAATCATCGTTCCTTGGAAACAAACAATATTCATTATTTAACAGAATAAATCACTATCAATATACAATGAACATATAGACTAAAATACAATGAAAACTGTTGTCTCAATATAGTTACTTACTTTTCCATAAACTCTACCATTATTGTAAAGTGTGTGTGGCTAGTTCTTGACGATATCATTAAAATATTTAGCAGGAATTAACTAAAATAAATTCAAAACACAAAATTACTAAAACAACACGAAGCGGAGCAAAGTCAAGTGTTTATCTTAAGAAATCCGTGTTCGGAAATCACAATTCATATGAGGTGAAACATAGTTTTATAAACATAAAAAAAGTTTCTACATATATAATTATGTAAATAGTGTTTTGTCAAATAACTGTTTTACATTAATTAACACACAATTATTAATAAGTTTCATCACGTTTTCTTATTTTTACGCAGAATAAAAGACTCCACAAATACAATGATAGCAATAATCATTCATTTTCATTCGTTCGTTTTAATATTGAGTTCCAAGCTTTGTTTACATTTAGTTACAATATAGTATTGAGTATACTTGAATAAAAGATAAGCGTTTGTGCTGCCGACGACTTTAGTCACTGTTTGGTAAAAGTTTTCGCTTAGTTTACTCTATACGAATTCTTGACGCAATTGCTTATTATTCGTGCTCGAGGTGCCGGCTCTTCTTTCCTGATATTATCTCTTGAAGTGCCGTTGCCGAAACGAACGCCTCATAGACCAAAACGCCCTTCTTATATCCCGCAGGAGAGCGTCTCGGTTGGTGAGTAGCGTCGTAAGGCGATGCCGCGCGCTGATTGGTCGGCGACATCGCGTGATCTGCTGCCGGTGTGCGGGGTGCGCGGGGCGCACCGGGGTGTGAAGGGGCGACGGGCGGCGGCCTCCTTCGCTGTTCGTAACAACTATCATGGCTTTAATATTAGTGAAACAACGAGCTTTGCGCAGCATGAAACCTAAGTTGTGATACGTTTTCTTCCAGATGTTACCTATATTTTTTTGAAAATTTTCTCCTGAGGTGAAACGAACACCCAAATCCGTAACCTCGTACACTCGTGCCATAAGCTGCTCCGTCCAGCGCATACATATATATTTAAACGAGTTAACGTTAACGTTTCAAAGTATATTTTTTTTTTTTTTTTGGTATAAAATACTAGTAATGCTATTAAACATTACTAATATTCCTTTTAACCACTTCTGGTAAGCTTAAAATGCTTGTGTTAGAAGTGGTTCACGACAGTAGTCAAATGGCGGATTCGAACCCACGACCTTTCGAGTTCGCGGTCCACGCCCTGCCATTAGGCTACTAACGCTTAAAACGCTTGTGTAATCGATTTCTTTTAGCCATTAGGCTACTAACGCTTAAACGCTTGTGTAATCGATTTCTTTTATTAATTTTTTTTAATCAAAACTAAATGAAACGTGCAATTTTTGATTTTCTAAATTAATTTGTGCGTTTCAATTCGCGACGTTTTTGTCGACCGATCGACCCTTACGAATGTGTGCGTGCGCAGTAGTCAGTTAAAACAATGAATTACCACGCATTTTGAATTTAAAAGATAAAAAAGACAAAATGTTTGAGATAATTTTTTTCTTCGCCATTTGCCTATATTACTTATTCTAAACGGTCTTTGCAAATTTAGCCGGTTATTGCAAAATAAACCTGTGTGAGTCAATATTCATAAGTACTTTAGTAGTGGAGGGTTGTGGCACTAACGGGCCGACTCGACCGAAGAAGGACCACCCACAGAATACCACCATGAAATAGCAGATTATTACTGCTGTATTTCGTATAGAATAGAACAATTTTTCATTCAATATAGATTATTACATAATATTTATTGAAAATTGTGTTTTGTTTACAACTGGTTCAGAAAATACTTCTGTCTAGAATCTGTAAGAAACTCAGCGAGAACATGTACTAGATGACTTTTTACCGTCTGAAAAATAATACGGTGTTTTGTGTAAATGGAATACAAGCTATCCTCGAAAGTATTTGTAAAATATAACTGATAGGCGAAATTTCCCAATATCCAAAAAAGACAAACATAAAAACAATTTATACTACGGCATTTGCGTAAAACAAAAATAAGTAGGATAAATCGTTTACAAATGAAAAAGTTGTAAGCGTTATAATGAATTTATAAACAGTTCCTAAAAATATATTTTATGCCTACCGTATACTGCAACATCTAAACCGTATTTAAAATATCGAAATTAACTTATTTACAAACTATACTGATTGATATTTACAAAACTTAATTAAAAATTAAATTTATTATATAATTAAATTAATATTACATTATTGTAACTTACAAAGAAAAAAATTACCTTTTTAACAATATCGTCGTAATTGTTCAAAATGTCCATCGTTTCTTTCTAAATACAAACTAGCACTTTTATGTAAATTATTTATCTCGGGTCGGACCAAAAAAAAATCATCTATTGAGCTTTTCCATCAAAAATTCTCAGTGGCAGCCTGGAGTCAGGACGTGGCGGTGTCTCACCCCTGTACCTCGGAAAGCACGTAAAGCCGTTGCTCCTGCGTTGATCGTGTCATATAACCGTCCCAGCGCACTATGAGAGTGAGGGAAATAGAGTGCACTGTGCTTGCGCATACTCTCGGGCACTATAATCCTGTCCTGCGCCGATGGCTAGTCTCCGTTGAGACTGGCCGCCGTGACTAAAATTGGGTCTGGAGGGTATTATTATTATAATTTATACTTGCAATTGTTGTCACTTAGTGAAATTCTTTCACTAAGTGACAACAATACTTCTTTTTATAGGATAAGGGCACACAGTCCACCTGATGGTAAGTGGTTTCTGGGGCCCATAGACATCTACATCTATCCTCGATTACGTATCAAAATGCAGATGCGTTGTCACCCGTGAGGACTAAGATGGAATGCCTCTTTTCCAGTAAAAAGGGTCTCCGGTTCTCTACACTTACCATACGAAAAAAACAGCAGCATTAAGCTGCTATTTTACGCTGGTATTATGTGAGAGCGTGTTCCTTCCGCGGTAGAGCCAACACATTCGTGCTACAAGTATACAACAATATAGCTGCAACATGGCTCTACCAAGTTCTTTCTAAACGTAGTGATGAAGTAGTGGTGAAGTATGGTTAACTGTTTCTAACGTACAACCGTTTTATTTTCTATCATCCTTTTGCATTTCCTAAATATTATTTTCTTCACTTTCATATCTATAACAACTGTTGATTTCCGGTACTAGAATGGTCATAGACCACTTGCACATACCATATTTGAACATTTATTTAACATAGTCGGCAACCCTATCAAATTAAATAAAGTATAGTACCTTCAAACTGGCCCCACTCTTCGCGTCCAGATCCGCGATATGAGCCTCCTCCGGATACGCGTCCCTCCCAAACGGCGGCGGAAAGGTCACCTCCCCCCAATTCTTCGCACAGATGAAGTCCGCCGTCTGGTCTAGCTTCGCAGCCAAGTCCAGAAGGTAAATCCTCTCGCCGGTCACCACGATCGGGTTGATCTCCATATAAGTGAAGTGGAGGTCCACATACACTTGGTATAGGGACAGGATGAACGTAATTATCAGCCTGGATGGGAAAGAGGATACGTCAGTAAGCAGGACGAGTCGGCCTAAATTGCCGATAACCTATTAGGGTAATTACAAGTCTGTTTTTTTTTTATAGGACAAGGGTGACAAACGAGCACACAGTTCACCTGATGGTAAGTGGTTCCTGCGGCCCATAGACACTACATCTATCTTCAAATACAAATCAAAATGCAGATGCGTTATCAACCGTGAGGAATAAGATGGAATGCCTCGTTTCTAGTAAAAAAGGGTCTTCGGTTCTCTACACTCACCATACGAAACACAGCAGTGTTAAGCTGCTATTTCACGCTGGTATTCTGTGAGTGCGTGGTCCTTCCCCGGTCGAGTATTTATAAATTTGTTTATATTATATAGATAATAATCATTCTTTTTTGTGTAAATCAGTGCAATAAATAAAAAAAATTATTACTATATTAAAACGTTGACAAAAATAATTTCTAAAAGAATACTTCCTAAAACATATATTTTTTTTTTATAGAAGAGGGGGGCAAACGAGCATGCGGCTCACCTGATGGTAAGTGACTACCGCCGCCCATGAACAACTGCAACACCAGGGGAATTGCAGATGCGTTGCCGGCCTTTTAGAAAGGTGTAAGCTCTTTTCTTGAAGGTTCCTAAGTCGTATCGGTCCGGAAAATTCGCTGGTGGTAATTGATTCCACAAAGAAGTTGTGCGAGGGAGAAAACTTCTTCTAAATCGCACAGTGCTGGACCGCCAATCATCCAGATGGTGTGGATGGTAACGCGAGTTTTGTCGCGATGTGCGATGGTGAAATTGAGCGGCTGGAATTAGTCCGAACAATTCCTCAGAGCACTCCCCGTGATAGATGCGATAAAATACGCAAAGAGATGCAACATCTCTACGCAGCGCCAGTGTATCGAGCCTGTTAGGGATCGCAGTGGACTGTATTATTGACTACGCTAGGGAACTGCTTAAAGAAAAGATGGTACTGTCGAACTATACTGTATTGAAACTATTTACAATATGGCACTATTAACTACACTATACAGAGGGGAGTCTTCTTAATTTCTATGGAGTCTTGATTCTTCTTGATTTCTCTTGCTGTTTCTTCTCTTCGAGTGCCGCTTCCGAAATGAACCGCTCACAGACCGAGACGCCCTTCTTATATGTCGCCAGAGAGCGTCTCGGTTCGTGAGTAGCGTCGTCCGCGATGCCGCGCGCTGATTGGTCGGCGACATCGCGTAATCTGCTGCCGGTGTGCGGGGTGCGCGGGGTGCACCGGGGTGTGAAGGGGCGACGGGCGGCGGCCTCCTCGCTGTCCGCTACATCCTCCCCCCGGCGTAGCCTGCGAGCCTAAGCTTCTCTCGGGAGGACGGCGATCTTCCTGACGGGCCGCCGCAGCACTCTTCCCTTGGTCCGGACCTCGACGTTGCGTACCACGCCGTCTGGTCCAGGAAACGTCTTCGTTACAATGCCCCGCGGCAACATATTCCTGGGTAGGTTGCTGTCCGCAACCACGACGAGGTCCTCTTCCTGTATTTGGCGCTGCTGAGCATCTCGGGAGTCCCCGCGCGCGACCAGCGTCGGCAGGTATTCCTTCACCCAGCGCCTCCAGTACTCGTCGGCGAGCCCCTGCCTTGCTCTCCACGCCCGACGACGCACCCATGGGTGTGCACGGCGCGGTGACTGGCAGGCCCGATGGTCTCAACAGTAGGAAGTGGTTGGGTGTCAGCGCCTCTTCATCGTCGATGTCGACCGGTACGTGCGTCAACGGTCGAGAATTTACAGTATTTTCGGCTTCAGTCAGAAGCGTTGCCAACATTTCTTCTCGTGGGCTCTTCTGATGGAGAGTGGCTTCGAGTGCGGTCTTCACTAAGCGCACGAGACGCTCCCATGCGCCTCCCTGGTTAGGCGCGCCCGGTGCGATGAACTTCCAATCGACGCCGAGTCAGCGTGTAATCCTTCAACTGTGGCGCCCACTCTTCCATTGCCCGTCGTAGTTCTGTGTTTGCCCCATGAAAATTAGTCCCAATATCAGAATAAATAACCCGTGGCCACCCACGCCTAGCCGCCATGCGCCGCAATGCCGATATTGCCGAGTCCGCGGTCAGAGAATGGACTATCTCTAGATGTACTGCGCGCGTCGTTAGGCACGTGAACAGTGCCACCCACCGTTTTTCGTGCCGTCGTCCTATCGTAACCGTCAGAGGCCCGAAATAATCAATCCCGGTGTTCGTAAATGATCGCGCAAACGCCCCTAACCGTTCAGGTGGTAGGTCTCCTGTAACCGCAGGTCGTGGTGTCGCCTTCCGTACTCTGCATCGTAGGCATCTCCGCTCCGCTTTTCGTACTGTAGGTCGTAATCGGAGGATATGATACCTAGTGCGCAGGTCATTCACCACTCTCTCCCTGTTGGCGTGGCTTGCTTCCTGATGCGCCTTTTCCACAAGCAGCTTTACAAATTGGTGACGTCTATTCAGGATAATGGGTCTCTTCATTTGACCGTCCACGTCGGCTGCGTCGATCCTTCCCCTGGCTCGTAGCACTCCATCCTCCAATATGGGGTCGAGCTTCCTTAGTGCGCTGCCAGTGGCCAAATTCCTTCCCCGCTGAAGTCGGCTGATGTCTTCAGCGAAGCTTTCCCGCTGGCTATGTTGTATCCACATCCGTTCTGCTCTCTGGATGTGCTGCAATGTCAGTCCTCGTGCTCTTCCTCGTGTCGTATCGAGGAATTGTAGTACTCTCGCTGTGGCCCTGATTAACTTCTCGTAGGCAGAGAATCTCCCTATGTCTGGCAGGTGTGGAGCTTCCTGGGTGTCGCTCTGGTGCGCCACGATTTCCTCCAACTCTTCATCATCCCCCGCCTTCTCTTCCTGTCGGTGAGGCCATCTGTCTTCATGCTCGTAGAGGAAGGGTGGTCCTGTAAACCACTTGTCGCTCTCTTCCTTGGTTGTGAAATTCATACGCGTCGCTTGATCCGCTACGTTTTCCGCAGTCGGTATCCACCTCCATTGCTCGGTTGATGTCTTCTCAGCTATCTCCCCTAACCGGTAAGCCACGTATGGAGTGTAACGCGCCGTATCGTTCTGTATCCAGTGGAGCGCCGTAGTAGAGTCCTTCCAATATACGACCCTATCTGCTACCACTCTGTGTTCACCCTGTACGAACTCCGCGAGTCGCGCGCCTATTAAGTTCGCCTGCAACTCTAATCGCGGTATACTTTGCGCTTTAATTGGAGCGACTTTCGCCTTAGCCGCCACTAATCGTACCGTAATCGTTCCGTCGCGATATCGTATACGCCAATACGCCGCGGATGCGTACGCACGTTCGCTCGCATCATTGAACACGTGAAGTTGACGCTCTATCACTCCCCCCGTAGGAGCATAGCACCTTGGCAGTCGTAGTCGTGATACCTCCTCGACGACTCGCAGCCACCTCTGAAATTCCTCTGCTGCGTCCTCGGGTAGTTCGTCATCCCATCCGACCTTCTTCATACGCCATAGGTCTTGTAGCAGGATCTTGGCGGTGATGGTGAGGTAGCTTAGCAGTCCAAGCGGGTCAAAAACGGACATGACCGCGCTTAATGCTTCCCTCTTGGTCGGTGGTCGCTGTAGCGCCTTTACTTCTTGCGGCATCCTATTCATTGACGTGTTGAATGTTAGGGCGTCTTCATCAGCCATCCATAATAACCCTAAGGTTCTTCCTGGGCTGTCTTGTCTTAAGCCTACTTCTTTAGGCTTACGCGCCAGTAAGTCCTCCGGCTTGTCTTCTAACAGGGCTGCGTGGTTAGAGTTCCATCCTGCCAAGGTGAAACCGGCCTGCTGGTGCACTTCCGAAACCTGCTTCGCCGTATTTACCGCTTCCTCTACCGTGGCATAACTGTCTAAATAGTCATCCATATAATGGCTACGTACGATAGCGTTAAGTACCAACGGGTGTGTCTCTGCGTGTGCGCGCGCGTTATAATCTCTAACACTATGTGCGAGAAACGGCGAGCTCCTCGCGCCGAAAATCATAGACGTCATAACGTACTCCCGCGGTGGGCTGTGTCGCTCGTCTCCTCGCCAAAGAAACAACTGCGCGGGCTGATCGCGACGGTCGATCTTCACACGCAAGAACATTTCCCTAATATCCGCGGACACCGCTATCTCGTTCTCCCTAAATCGAAACATTATGCCCGGTAAGTTCCGTAATAAGTCGGGGCCGTCGAGTAAATAATCGTTAAGGCATCTGCCGGATGCACGCGCTGCCGCGTCGAACACTAATCTCGTCTTCCCCGGCTTGTTCGGATTCCGTACTGCGAAGTGTGGCAGGTACCAGCTCTTGGGATCCTCTCGCTCTGTCCCTTCGGCTTCCCTTGCGTATCCTTTCGCCAGGAGGTTGTCTATCTGGGCTGTGTAGGCGTCACGAAACTCCGGCGACTGGTCCATCTTCCTTTCAATCGTCCGTAGTCTTCGCGCTGCCATCTCGTAGCTGGGTGGCATCCGCACGTTGTCATCCTTCCATGGCAGTCCAACTTGGTATTGCTCGCCGACCTTCTTGACGGTACGCTGGAATATGTCGACAGCGCGCTCCTCATCCCGTCGCGGCCTACTCTTTAGCGAGATACCTATAGAGTCTATCTCGTACTGCCGTTTGAGGAGTTCCGTTAGTTCCTCGTCCTGACTGGCAAACGTTCGGATGTCCCTATCTGACTGTCCGCTAGTGCTTTCTACGTGTAATAGGGTATCGCCGTCTTCCCTACACGTTAACCGCGGCACGGTTCCCTGAATTACCCATCCTAATAACGTTCGTGCAGCTATAGGCTGCCTTCGACGTCCTATCCTTAAACTACGGGTGATTATCAAATGCCAATTGTCGGCGCCTAATAGCAATCTCGGCTTCGCGTCGTCGTAACACACCGAACTCGGTAAGTCACGTAAGTGCTTTAATCGTAAACACTCCCTACTCACAGACTGCGAGCCTATCTTTAAGTCGGTTATTGTTCGCGCGTTTATGTTAAACATCTCGCTGCGCGTC